AATTATAGTTATAAGCAAATATGAAAACATGGATAATTATTTCCATGTTCCTCCTCATAGCTCTTATTGATTGCTTACTAATTTTTTCATTTTGAATAGGAATAATTGGAGTATTCCTACCTTAAATATTTATTAAGAACAACTAACTTCTTTATAGACACCTCATTAAGGTGTTCTTCAACAAGAAGGGATCTAGGCTCGGTACAACCCTTTGAGAAACTACAATCTCCACACCTAGGCTTGTCTCCCCCTCTTATAGACTCTAGTCGAGATAACTCTAAATTCCATCCTAACTCTATCTAAATCTATCATTTTTTTCAAAGAAAAAAATGGACAAAAGCTTTAAGTTTTACTTATCAACTTATCAAAACTACCGTCAATCATTCGAAAAGAGTTAGACCGTTACAATATGTATCTCATAAAAAATTAGAGATCAAGTTAGTCTCTGTAATCTATTGCCAAAATCAAAGAGATAACTAATACACTTGGAAGACACATTTGATCATATAACCTTTAAGAGGTTAAGGGATCCTACCTGAATAAACACCTAGGAAGACATGACTCTATATTGTGTAAAAAGAAAAATAGATCTTGCTAAGTCATCTTTATGAGTATACCAAAAAAACCCTTACCCCGACAACAAGCCTCGGATATATGAGCTCAATCTTATCAATTGAAATAGTCATATAACACATCTATCAAATAAGAATGTGCAACAAAGATTAGTTTTTATCTATCCAATGCTGATTGTGACGTTGTCATATTTTTTTAATTGCAATCTATCAATATCAAAGACACATATCCCCGAAATAGATGTTAGAAGCTATTGGAAATAAGAAAATGGATTATTTTAACCCTTCTTTTCATGTATCTTGATAAGGTCTATGACTAAATAAATAACTAAAAGACTTAAGATTTCAAGTTCTGAATCTCTTATGAACAATCACTATCTATAATCTTTGATGTACTTGCATTATTCCATCGTTGTCTTCTCGGGCCATCATCTCTCTTTATATACTTAGTGATCGAAAGTCTTTCATAAAAAGAGATTTGTTTCATAGGTATTCCAACTAGCATGATTTTTATCTACCATCAAACTTCACCACTCGTACTAACTAAGAAAAGGCTATCTCAACACATATTCTTAGGCCATCATCTCTCTTGATATAATTAGTCTTTCGATCTTTCACAAAAGGAGACTTGTTTCATAAGTATTCTAACTAGTATGAGCTCTATCTACCATCAAACTTTGCTACCGTACCAACTAAGAAAAAACCACCTCATCACACATCCTTACCAAAGGTTTATGAACTCATCATTTCCTAGCATAGAAAAAATGAAGAACTCGGTCAATAATTAGCTAAATGGGGAAATTCTATCGCTATCCTAATACCTAGATAATATAACATGTTTTTGTTGATCCATACATAAGATATTGTGAACAAAATAAAATTAGAAAGACATGTTAGACAGTTGGAAGCCACAATGCTATGACATTAGTCGTTCTTATTACCTTAGAAAACTCAATATATAGAGAGTATATCGGTACCACTTTATGGTAGAAAGGCTCGATTTTAAAAGCAACGAACATGTAAAAATATGAAGCAACACTTTACACTTGAACATTTTTGTGTTATGAGTTGCTTCCCTCATTGCATATAAAAGCTAAAAATGGAAATGGACTTGCGGACTATAATCTAGATTAGAACAATGGAACTTTGATAATTCAATTAGATTATCATGAATGTCTAATACCGACTAACGGACTTTGGAATTCATGGAATGGTATGAGCACGATAGAAGCTGAAAAAATATTGGCTTAATTTTGGGTTTTTGGGCCTAATTCGATTTCAAACAAGCCAATGAGCAAAACACATGGGTTACACCCATGATGTAGGTTGATTTTGGCAGAAAAAAAAAAAAAAAAACCCACTATTTAAGCCTCGCAAAATTGACTTTTACTATTTTTTTAGATTTTTTTTTATTTTTATGTTTATTTTTACATTTGTTTTTCTTTTGAATTACTTTAGGGTTTTGGCTGAATTTTCTTATTTATGTATCACTTGGAGGTCGAAAAAGCAGTTTTCTTTTATTAATAATAGTTTACAAGAGAGTATCTCAAGTTTATTCTAATTTTTGACATTTATTGAATCAATGAAATTTAAACCTATTTTCCGATAATAGTGTGCAATTTAACAAGTTAGTAGCGGATCGATATTTGAATTTCATATCAGTAGTATTTATTTTTCTTTTCTTGAGCTTCCATTAAGTCAATTGATATCGAGCCTACCGTCGTTGTTCCGACCATGCCGCCAAGGATACAATAACAAAAAAATATGGATGAGATCTATAAGCACACCGATGTGGTATGTTTAGAACGAGATGAATTATAGGATGAATCGGTCATTACAACAGTTAACACGATAGATGGAGAAGTTGATAGGTGCGTTGATGATGAACATAGGCGAGATGCTATTAAAATCGAGCTCGCCATCGGATTTAGAAAGAGAGTAATAGATTGGTGGGAGAAACTGAAACCGACCCGAAATAAGATACGTAAACCTTAGATTAATTCTTCAAAAAAAAAAATGAAGAAGCACATGCATACTACCTTCTTACCTTATAACTTTTAGAGGATATTGTACCAACGATTGTAGGACTAAGATAGGGAGCCCGATCGGTAGATGATTGTACCACCGAGTTCTACTAGTTGCTAGCCGGAACGAATTATAAGAGATGGAGGATCGGTTGGTGGTGAGATATATTATGGCTTACAATCACAAGTCGTGGATTCCGTTAATATGTTTGACCATACGTGTCTTTTTGCTATCTTTCGAAAGCACTACGGAGTTAAAAAGTAGTCACATCGAATAGCTTTATTAACCCTTTCAACATGAGAAGCGAGTAACATCACAATTGGTGGTGGTGGGGTAGTTTGCATAGGAGGTGTAGGTAGTAGGGACTCCATAGTTACTCGGATAACATAGTAGGGTAGCTGGTAACAATACAAAGTATTTTACATGTGGTGAGATTGGCTACGGACAGTCTAAATGTCAAAAGGTAAGGAAAAAAGCACTTCTTATCGATGCTTAGGATTGTGATATAAATAAGGTAGACTTGACTTGTGATCTCGTCTATGATGATAGAGATGTCTTAGAATAAGAGGTTGCGAGGGGCAATGAGGGGACATCACTAGTTGTTAGGAGGTCCTACTTGACTCCTAAAGTCACCGATGATGATTGACAACGAACTATTATTTTTCAGTTCACTTGCATAATTCGAGTGTAAGATTTATCGTTTTGTCATTAATATTGGTAGTCGTGAGAATATTATTTCGATGAAGCAATGTAGAAATTAGGTCTCAAGGTAGAGAAACACTCTGAGCCTTACAAATTGGCTTGGCTTAAAAAAATAAAAAGGAGAGGTAATTGTTTCTCAACGAGCTTTAGTTTTTTTTTCTATTGGCTCTAAGTATAAGGATGATGTGTGGTGTGATGTAGTTGCGATAGATACGTGTCATTTACTATTGGGTAGGTTGTGACGAGTATAATAGGAATGTAGTTCATGAGGGGTGAGCCAATACATATGGCTTCATATCTAATGATGTAAAGATTATGCTTGTGCCTAGTAAGGTTTCAATTGTTTCCAAACCTATAGGTGATATTAGCAAGCTAGTGTCGCTAGCTCGGTTTGAAGAGGAGTTGCAGGATTCAAGAGTGGTCTATATGATGATTGGATAGGAAGCTAGAACGGATGAGATAATACCGAAGCAATAGTCCCCCTTGTTGCTGAATTTTGTTATGTATTCTCGGAAGAGTTGCTCGTGGAGATAGCTAAGAAGATTAATCCTAATGCTTAATGCCTTAAGCCGCCTAGTCATATTCGCACCGTCGATGTATTCAATATCAAGCATTTGATTCCATTTCGTGGTGATTTTTCTAAAGATGATGATGCGGACAATTCAAGGATGAATTTTCTCTTTCCTGAGGGGAATGATGTGGACCAATGGGCTTTGGAATTCATTAAACGATATGAGCGCGACGTAAGCCGAAAAAACCAATCACTCTAATTTTGAAGTTTTTTAAGTCTAGTTCGATGCCAAAGGGGCCAACGAGTAATACTTATGCCCATTATGTAAGGGTGATTTGAAGAGGAGTTATAGGATTCGAGAGTGGTCTATATGTTGATTGGAAAGGAAACTAGAATTGATGAGATAATACCGAAAGTAGTAGTCCCTTTGTTGCTAAATTTTGTGAAGTATTCTTGAAAGAGTTTCTTATGGAGATAGTTGAGAAAATCAACCTCAATACTTATCACTTCAAGTTGCTTAGTCATATTCGCACTGTCGATGTGTTTAATGTCAAGCATTTGATTTCATTTCTTGGTGTTTTTCCGAAGATGATGATGTAGACAATTCAAGGGTGAATATCTTTCCTGGAGGGAATGATGCGGACTAATGGATCTTGTAATTCATGAAACGATATGAGCGTAAGATAAGTTGAAAAAAATTGTCGACCTAATTCTAAGATTTTTTAGGTCTAATTTGATGGCAAACAGACCAACCAACAGAAACTCATGTCCATAATGTAGGGGTAATTTTGACTAAAAAAGTATTATTTAGGTCCTCAAAATTGACTTTTACTATTTTTTGAGTTTTTTTTTCTTATTTTTGGGGGTTTTTTTTATTTGTCTTCTGTTTTGAATTGCTTTAGGATTTTGGTTGAATTTTTTTACTTGTGTATGACTTAAAGGCTAAAAAAATCAGTTTTTTTTTATTAATAAAAATTTATGAGAAAGTATCTCATGTTTATTTTAATTTTCAGCATTTATTGAATTAACAGAATTTAAAGCTTATTTTTTTATAATTGTATATAATTTAACAGATTATAACTTACATCTAAATTTTAGATTCACAATATTTATTTTTCTTCTCGTGAGCTTCCTCTGTGTCAGTGTCACAAGTTAGTAAGTTTAAATCCAGGCTGGACGAAATACAAGTAATGAAGATATGGGCGTCAACTTCTTTGGCGATTCTGGAATTGCAGCTTCAAAATAAAGGACTCGTAGAGAGATTGATGAAGCGTGGTGCGAGAAAAGCGACATCCTTGTGAGACTTGGTGTTGAGGATGAAGGTTTGAGAACTTGGGAAGTGGGTGATTATTTGGGTCTTTTCAAAAATGGTGGTAAGGATGCTCTCGTAAAGAGGTCCAAAGTTCAGATTATGAGCATTTGCTCTTTGAAGTTTGCTGGTCTCTGGGCTGAGTTTTGAATGCTCTTGGATAGAGGCTGATTGCTTTTTGATGTACTATTTTTGTGTGCTGTGCTTTTCTGTTTATCGTTGATGTCTTTTGTTGCATGGTGAAGCGGTTCTGGTGTGGTGGACTGTGTTTCCTATTGTAGAGAGCTTTGGTGTGGTCCTAAGATTTTTCTGGTCTTGATCCCTTTTTTGTGCGATTGGATTGGCATGGATGAATCATGGCTAGAATTTTATCTGGGAATGTCAGTGGTCTTAAATCGCCCATCAAGAAGAGGGCAGTTTGAAAGATAAGTAGATGTGAGGGGTTAGTAATGTTTGTCTTCAGGAAACTAAACTTGTTGCTATTGATCAGAAATTTTTCTTCTATATGGGATCAGGATAGTGTCGGATGGAAGCATGTCGATCCGGTGGGTAGATCTGGTGGACTGCTTGTTCTTGGGATGCTGAGGTTATTAATGTGTGTGGCGTCCAATATTAGAATGGAGCAATAGTTATGGAAGGTCTGGTTTTGGCTGAGAATTTAGAATGCATGGATTCTTTGTGCAAGGTTTTCTGGGAAGAGATTGCTGTTGTGTTTGGAAGGGGTTAAGCCGTTCAGGTTCCTGTCTGGTGTTGGGGGACTTCAAAAAGGTTCTTAAACCGCAGGTTCCTGTCAGCAGCTATTGATTTTCTGAGGTGTTCAATGCCTATGTCTGCTGTAGATGGTTTGTGGTGATACTTGTTCCACTTGTGTGTCGCTCTCTGTTTGCCTCCACTTCGCTGGAATGCTGAATGGTTTGCGTGAATACGGGCTCTTGGGGGCGTTTCTGTGTGTTGGATGCTTTGCCGATGCCAAGCCATGCCTTAATATATTGTTTCACGTATTGTGGCCGCTGTAATTCTTCTGCTGATTCAGCTATGAACATGCTCTTGGTCTAGTAGTTATTGCTGCGATATTTTTTTTTTTTTTGATGATTAAGACTTCATATTGTGGTTATATGTGACTTTTTCATTTCTGTGGATTGAAAATGCAGCAGTTTATTTTGTATGGTCCGTCAATTTGTCATCCGGCTGCTGGGTGCATTTCAATTCTTGCAAGGAGCATTCTTGATGCCTTGTTTGTTATCTTCAACGTGCTGTGTGCTTGCTATTAAACCGGTGCCTGTACTGAAGTTCTTAAGATGTCAAATTATGCTATCTACTCTAATAAGCTTCAAGTGGGGTTAAATCTTGTTTATGCTTGTCTATAACATGGATCCAAGCAGTTATACTTCAGCTGCAACATTATGCCAGCACTAGATAATTCGTTGACGAATGTTGCTGTTAACCTGTTATGAAGATTAGTTTCTGCTATTTGTGTTCGCTGCAATTTGCTGCTGAACTGGTGCTTGTTTTCCATTCAATATGTGCGAGTTTAAACTTTTAGTTTTTTCCTAGCCATCTTATCTATGGCTTGTAACTTATCTTAAATTCATATTAATAAATATAACCGATCACATTCCCAAAAAAGAAAAAAAATTATTGCAGAAACTGAGTTCAAACTAATTATTCATTCATGTCTATGATAACGATTGCGATCCAACCACAAAATCAAATCCCATACTGTTATGTGGGGAGTTGATATTCTGCTCCTGCTTCCACGCACTAACTCCACCTACTCAAAACAGATTCGAGAAACAAAACTACAAGAAACCTTAAGCTATCACTCCATAACTGCAACTCCTCCAGCAGCTTTTATCTTCTCTATTATGTCATTTGCTTCATCTTTAGTGACCCCTTGCTTAAGCACACAAGGAACCTTCTCAACCAGGTCTTTCGCCTCCTTCAATCCCAAACTAGTAAAACTTCTAACTTCTTTAATCACCTTAATTTTTGCAGCTGCATCAAACTTCTCCAACTTCACATCAAAGGCTGTTTTCTCCTTTTCCTCAACCTTTGCAGCAGCAGTAGCTGCTGTTCCTCCCTGGGAACCCAAGTCCATGCCCTCTGTTGAAATTGGCTGCATTTTTGGAAGATTTACCTTGTACCCAAGAGCAGGACCAATTTGAGATCGCTCTTCAGGGGGTAGGGCGGCAATGCGCTCAGCGAGTTCAATGATCTTTTCCAAGGGTGGAGGTCTGGGGCCATATGGATCATAGACCTGCGGATACTTGTACTTTTTAGGTTTGGTCTTGGGATCCCTAGGAACAAAATCTTGCTGGAAATAACGAACCTGCAAAGGTCCAGTTATTTCACGGAGAGCAGGATGATGAGCACGAACTGACATGGCAAACGCAATAAACTTCATTTTTTTTTTTTTTTTGGGAAATCAGTGGAAACAACAGATCATGTGCAAAGAAGGCCCAGCCTCAAATCAAATATTTGCAGAATGGAATGCAAATGAATTATCTTCTATCTTTTTCCTCGAGAAAGGAAGAACTACACAGAATTCAGCGCCAAGTCTGTTGCCTGAAATGAGAAAACAAAACAAGGTGAGAATTGTATAAGGGCAGCCACAAAAATTTTACTAAGAAATGAAAATATTGCAATGTTTAAAAAAGCACTCTTCAATGTCACAAACAAATTGTTATATCTCACACGATCCCAATTTAAATAAAAGCGTTATGTTTCGCTGAAACAACAGATACCTCGTCAAATCATTTTATATTAGAAAGGGAACTTCTATTCAGTAGCCTCTCCACATAATCTTTACAAAGAGCCGAAGAATTTACCAGCTCCCTAACTCTAAAACTTACATTCTTCCCAAATTTCGATATAAATCAAAAACCCTAAATGCTTTTGCAAAAGTTTATACTTAAATCCAGTTGATATGGAGTTACTAATTCAACAAGAAGCTTAAACATTACAAATTTGAGACGGGTCTCAAAATTTTCAATCAAATTCAACAAGATAAACAAAACAAAGAAGAGAATTTCCAAGGGGCATTTAAACAAACAGGTGGTGAGCGTAACAAAGTCAATAAAGGAAACACAAAAACAACTAGCAAAGTACCGCAATATGATCCAAATGATCATAGTAGAACACCTTCAATGGGCAAAACCGAAAACTTACAGCAAGAAATCGATATAGCTTTGCGACAACTGGAGAGAGAGAGAGAGAGAGAGAGAGAGTTGGAGCCCAATATTGCCAAGGGCAATAGGGAATGACAAAGAAGGCTTTGTTTTTCTTAAGATTGTAGAGGAGAAAACGAATTTAAAGCAGGAGACCCACCAAAACGCTGATTAGAATTAGACTGGGTTTTATCTTAAGTACAAGGCCTTGAGAGCTTGAATGGCCCCCAGCCTTTAAATTTAAAAGCCGCTTGGGTTTCTAGTAATCCACAACTATTCTTTTTTTTTTTTTTTTTTTTTTTTTTTCTCACAAGACAACCTTGAATTAATATATTTAATTTTTGTTTAATTGTAGTATACTTTAATTATTTAAAATTAATATTATTTTTAATTAATTTATGTTCCTTAGATTATCGAGGAGCCGATTCTCCACTTATGTAGATGGCTCCACTACGAGAAAACATAGAGTTTGCAACCGTTTTTTAGTGACGATATTAAAATTCGTCGCTAAAACCATAAGTTAGATACGGTTTTAAGTAAACCATAGGTAATTTTGTTTCAAATATTGATTTTTAGCGACGATTTTGAAAACATTGCAAATTCAAAAAAAATTTGGAGTTTCTAAAAATCGTCGCTAAAAATTTTTTCTTTTGAATTTAGTGGCAGTCATAGAAAATCGTCACTAAATCTAAAAAGAAGAAGGCTATTGGCGATAGTTTGAGAAGATCATCGCTAATTCTATTAGACTTTTAAGGGGTTTTTAATGAAAACCTACATTTTCGGGTGACTTCAACGACAGCTTTTAAAAAACCATCGCTAAAATCCCAATAACACTAAGGATGTTTTTAGCAACGGTATTCCATACCATGGCTAAAAACCCCTTAAGGCTTCGAAAAATACCACTAGTATTTTATTTTTTCTAAAATAATTATTAAGTTTTAGCTTCGAAAAAATAGGAATACCGGGATTCCACCGAAGAAGATAGATACCATGATCATGATGGCTCGACCACCGCCGTCGCTACGCCTCACGTCGATCAAACTGCAGTTTCCTCTCCTTAAGGCTCCCTTCAAGGCCGCAACGCCAAACCAAGTGGACTAAGGATACTCCCCAAAATATGCCAAAAACCAAACCGAGTACACAGAGCATATCAATCTCGAATATGAAAACCGTAGAGAATTTGCAATCTTCCAATTCCCCGAGCGAGTTCTATTATGCATGACACAGGACTTAGAAAAATACCATCGGTATCTTAGGCCAATATTGTTACCTAGCCAAAGGTAGTTCTAGAGACCAAAACAAAACCAAAATCATATCCCCTCACAACCATTCCTTTGGCACCAAGCACAATCGACCTATATTAATTCGTAGTCGACAATTTTGTTTTCTTTTATAGAACTACAACGAGCATCAACCCAATTCTAATACACCTTCATATTTAAATTCGATGGGGGAAACCGCCCATTAGAGATATACAAGCACATATTAATCTCATGTGGCACTTAAAGAATGCACCCATTATTGGTTTACTTGTTTCAAGCCATGTCATGGTGCATTTGTAGACCGAAGAGGACCTAGTTCTAGCTCTATCTCGTGAAGATTACAAGATACAAAATAACATGTATCATATGTATTGATGGAATGTAGATTTCTAATTCGGAAAGATAGTCCCTTATTTTTTGTATGGGTTAGATTGCCACATCTTCCATTGATGTTCTCTAATCTAACCTTTTTAAAATGAATTGTGGAAGGAACAGGGAGTTTCCTAATGGCGAGATAAAAGAACATTGGCACTAACTCACCTAATGTGCGCCCGTTTCTACTTAGAGGTGGATGTATCTAAGTCTCTCCCAAACCATATATGGGTGGGAAGTTCTAAGGAGAGTAGTTTCTAGTAAAGGATTGAGTATGAAGGAAAGCTTGATTATTTTTTTTCATGTGGTTTGATTGGACACACAACGACTAGATGTCACAAGAGTTTTAAAGGTCTATGGGCCGAGAATTTAGAGCAACAAAAGGGACAACGACTTAGTGAGATGAAGAGCTTAGCGCATGTAAATAAAGACAAACACCTTTGAGTTCCCATACAAAGATAGAAAACAAATGATATGGACTATGCAAGGAAAGGAGTAGTGAATAATGTTAGCAAAGTAGTATCTCGTGATAGAGGTAAAAGAAAATAGTAATCAAGCTCTTATTGTCGATGATAGAAGTGGGTCTAATGAGAACTTAGGAGAGGGCATTTTGCAAGGAGGTGCATGCAAGGCTAAGGAAGGTAAGGTAGTAGTACTTGAGTTACACGAAACCGGCGAGTATAGTTCAAAATGACAATAATGCACCACATAGTAAGTAGGTTATTATTGATGGTGATAGAAGCATGGCTAATGAGAACTTAGGAGAGGGCATTTTGCAAGGAAGTATATTTAATGTTAAGGGAGGCAATTCATTAGGACTGGAGTCGCATGAACTATTAGTGTATTTTAGATCACAATAGTGCATAACATACGGATTCCGGTATGGGGAAAGTTATTTGTTTAGACATACGGACCGATGTTAGTGGAAAAAGGCTAATAGAAACCGAGGCTATGCCCATAGACTCAAACCCTTTTGTTGCTTTGGAGCTGGTAGAGGAGGTCGAGCAAGATAAAACAAAAAGAGACAGGTTTCGGGAAAGACTAAGTTTGTTTTAATGGAGGGGGATATTTCAAAGAAGGACCATGAGGGAGAGAGATTAGTATTTTAAAATGGTGATAGTTATAGTAAAGTGAACTGGATGACCAATAGCATGAACTAGAGTACATAGAAGAATGATAAGGGAACGAGCTTTGGACAACACTTTAGGTACATTATATGTAGAAAGCAGATTTGGTATCTCGGCTTGTGAGGTATCTCAAATCATGGAACATAGTAAGCAACTTGTAGTATAAGGTATAATCGATAGTTCAAAACATATATAATTCGAGTTACCAAAATATAGTATGTGGGAAGGTTCTATATCGGAGGATGAAAAGAAAAAGAAAATAGGTAGGGGAAATTAGTTATCAATGAGCTTAATAGATTTTTAGAATGGGAATGTGAGAAAGGTGAAGAAGGCGTTTAAACAATTTTAGAAGATTGCAAAAAAAAAAAAAAAAAAACTTCAATTGCCAAATTACGATAGGAACACTCGATCGGCTTACAAAGCAATGGGTACGTCATTTTTTATTAATAATGAATGTCGGATATCATTTGGAATGCTAGGGTATTGGAAATGTTAATACCATTGATTATGTTATGCTTTTAAAGAAACAATATAAACCAATGTTTGTAGCTATAATTGATCCAAAATCGGGAGGGAGGGGATAAAATAAAGGATATAGCTAAGTCTTTGAAGTTTAACTATATCATGCATTTTAACCCAATAAAAACTTATGTTTGGATGTTTTGGAATGAGGATGCCGATTTAGCTTCGTGAGGCAATGCATAAGCGAGTTGTCACCCTAAATATATCAATGTCACTTTTGGTAAGTCGAGAGTTTCGGTAATTTATGGTAGTTGTAGTAGGAGGAAGCATCGGGAATTATGGTCCGAATTAGATTGTTTGGCATTAATCAATCGGGACCCGTGGATTATGAGGGGGATCTTAATATCATATCTTCTACGGATGAAAATATTGGATGAAATGGGTGTAATATTCATGGTATGAATGATTTTAATAATTATTATGATAGAGTAAGTATAGTGGATATGGGCTATCGGGGTAGTAAATATACATGGAGTAATATTCAATTAGTCTTTATCTTAAATTTGGGAACGGTTGGATAGGGTGTTAGTGAATGGCTCTTACGTAACATCTAGGCCAAATCTAATTATGGATTACTTAGCCCGTACGGTTTCAAACCATTGTCCTTTGTTGATTTGGTTATGGCAACGAGTAAAAGAAACAGTGCTATGTTTCGATTTCAACAAATATGGTTGGAAGATGCGAATTTTTAAGTATTTGTTAAAAATAATTAGGATATAAGAGTACACGATTCCTCGATGGAGGTGTTACATCGAAACTTAAGTATCTAAAGAGCAAACTTAGGGTGTAGAATTAGGAGGTTTTTGGGAATGTTAGGAGGAAGATTGAAAAATTACAAGATGACATAATTAGGTTTGACTTGAGTTTGATGTAGGGTTGGGATGACCATATAGCCGATCGGTTATAGGATATGAAAATAGAGTTGGATAAGGTAATTCAATGGGAATATAATAT